AAACAGAGGGTGGGAAAATACAAATGAGGGATGCCGTGAATGGAAAGTGCCGGAGAGCTACATACAAGGAATATAATAAAGGAAAGAGAGTCTTACAGGTTAATCAAAATATGAAACCCTTGTTCATTGTTTCAGTTGTTCCATCCAATGTAGAACAAGACAAAGACAAAATTGAGTGGATGAAGCACAACAAATCTCGAAACGAAAGTTTCCCAGTACATGGAGGAGACTTCTTCCTGGAAAGATCCGGAAAACCTCTGCACAAGGTGGGTCAGACGTTGAAGAAAATGTGGGCAAATGATGGCTGTAAGGGGACGCTCCTGCCAACTTTGATAAGGAAGACAGCAGCCCCTGCCCTCTATTTCATTGGAAAAGTTAATCTAGAACTTGTGCAAGAAATAATTCTTCAAAAGTATATATCTTGATAAATAATTCAATTCTCTTTCATAACATGAAACCAAGATCACGATGAAAAAGTCATGTATAATTGAACTGAGATAATTTGAAGTTATAGTGTCAGAGATTCTTTCGCTTGAATTATCGCAATGGCCACAATGGATGTATCACGCAAGGTGAGCAGTTGGCATGCGTGCGAGCATTCATTTGAGGAAACGTATCTCTGACCTTCCCAATTACTCTGATGACCATTCCATCGTCAACTAGGTGTCATATGATGAAAGGTGAAAAACTGTGTGTTAAAATAAAACCCTCTTTCACGTCATTATATAATTTGAATGTCATGTTGAAGAAAAAAAAAGAAATTTGTTGCGATTTTGGGGTTTTTCCAACAATTTCAAGGGGCTTTAGGATTTAATTAACGAAACGGAGCTGGTATGATTACTTTCGTATGTGATAAAACTAGATGAATTATATTTATTTCCTCAGTGTCTACATGTCCCTTATGCAGACCCTAAGCCCAAGCACAGTTCACAAGTATGTAGATGCGCTGGAAAAGTTGTGCACTTTCCTTCTCAGTGAACTAGGAGACGAATCTCTGCCAGGGCTGCCATATATAGCCTTTTCTAAGCTACAGAGCCGTTGCAGGCTATATAAAAAAGGCCTGATGAAATTTATAGAGAGATGTAAAAGACAAAGAAAGACTTGTATCATTGTTTCAGAACAAGAAAGAATTGAGTGGATGAAGCACAATAAATCTCCAGCAAAGAAAGTTTCCCAGTACATGGAAGATACTTCTGCTTCAAGATACGAGTGGATTAGAGAAAAGAAAGAGGATGGCAGCGGACGAAGTGTATCTGAAGTTCAGGAACGATACCCTCGACTTCTTGAACACATCAAACTTTGAAAAAATGTGGGCAAATGATGGCCGTAAGGGGACGCTCCCGAAAAGAACATGGGATAAGGAAGAGGTAGAGAGGATAGGAGAGGACAAGAGGAGAGTCCAAGAGTAAGGTGTTTGACACCAATGACGTTGAACACCATCCAGGGCCATAGGCAGACATCACATGCCATGACTCAGATGATCTTCTCCAATCCATCCAAGACATGCATCCACAATTAATTTCTAACCAGTTTCCCGTGCCCCTAAATATGGATCAGAAATTGGACATAATTACTCAACAAAATGCATTAATAATCAATAATCAAACCATTATAATTAATGAATTGGCGGAGATCCGCCAGGTAATTAATCCTCCCAAACCGGTGCCAGTGTACTACTGTCAGTTGGACAGTGAGGCTGTGAGCATTGGCACTGCAGATGTAAATGCTCACATGACAAAAGCCCACTACCTCAGGGCTTATGAGCAGTCGAGGAACGGAAGGAAATTTTCAGCAAGGAGCAGCTGTCCACTTTTACTTTTAATGGGGACTATACCAAGAAGGCCTTCTTTGATTTAGTGTATTTATTTTCACATTCCTCTTTCAAACTATACAGGTGCATTGATGGGACCCACATCGGTCTCCATGGGGCACCCCTTGCCCTGACGAGCACACGTTCATCAATAGAAAAGGAAGATATTCCATCAGTGTGCAATTCGTTTGCACTCCAGACTACAGGATATTCAATGCTGTAGTCAAATGGCCAGGATTCACACATGACAGCAGGATCTTGCAGGTATACTTTAAAAAAAAAAAAAGAAGATATTTCTTGAACTTTTATAGAGACTCGAGCAGAGATGGAAATGAGAGAAGAGATTGATGATTATTCTAAATGAAAACAAGTAATTCAAAGGGAGAATTGAATGTTTCTTTTCTTTGATACAAAACAGCAAGTTGGCTAGAAAATACCATGCGGGACAGTTAAAAGGGATATTACTAGGCGATTCTGGATATCCCTCAAGACCATGGCTGTTGAGGGAAGAAAAAACAATTGTATTCATGGTTGAATTTTCATGTCTCAACAGTGCACATATCCGAACCAGAGTTCACATAGAGCAAGTAAACGGACAACTGAAACAAAAATTCCGGTGCTTGCTTGGCAATGGGCTGCAATGGAAACCAAGTCATGCAGTAAAAATCAAGGCCTTGAGGAGGGAGTATATGTTCAAGGTTATAATGGCTCAGGCTGAGCTACAATATCCTGGGTTTGCAGAAAGTGAGGGTCGGAAAAAACAAATCAGGGATGCCGTGAATGGAAAGTGTCAGAAAGCTAACATTCTGCGATCTTCCTGGGTCTGAGCAGAGGAGACCAACTGGAGGGGGCAAAGACCATCAACTACTTCCTGTTAGCACTGCAAAGATGCATCGTCAGAACTCTGATATCTTCAGAAGAGAAGGAGGAATCATGGAATATCCAAGAAAATGATGTAACTGAAAAGAACACACTCTGTCAGGCTAATAAAGGAAAAGAAAGAAGTGATAGGAGAGGACAAGAGGAGAGTTTTAGAGTAAGGTGTTTGGCAGAATACTGTACATGTATGTCCATCAATGACAGCGAGGAGAACCATGTAGGCCCTTCAACATGCCATGACTTGGATGATCTTCTCGAATGCATCCTTGGGCAAGACATCCATCCGCAAATTATATCACCACAGTTTTCCGTCCCCCTTAATATCGATCAGAAAATGGACATAATTTCTCAAAAAATGCATTAATAATCAATAATCAAAACATTATAATTAATGAATTGGCGGAGATCCGCCAGGTAATGAATCCTCCAAAACCGGTGCCAGTGTACTACTGTCAGTTGGACAGTGATTCTGTGAGCATTGGCACTGCAGATGTAAATGCTCACATGACAAAGGCCTAATACCTACACGCGTATGAGCAGTCGAGGAATGGCAGGGAGTTGCTGTTAAAACTCCTTTCTGAGCTTTTTAGCAAGGAGGAGCTGTCCACCTTTTCTTTTAATGGGGACAACAACAAAAAGGCCTTGAGGAGGGTGTATTAATTTATTCAAGGCGATAATGGCTCAGGCCGAGCTGCAATTCCATGGGTTCTTGGAAACGGAGGTTGGGAAAAAAACAGGTACGGGATGCCGTAAATGGTAAGTGCCATAAAGCTTCATACAATTTCCTGGAACTGCTATGGTATGAGCAGTCAAGGAACGGGAGGGAATTGCTGTTAAAACTCCTTTCTGAGGAGGGATTATATCTTCAAGGTGTTAGTGGCTCAGGCCGAGTTGCAATTCCCTGGGTTCGCAGAGAGAGAGGTTGGGAAAAAACCTGAAACGAAAGGTGTGTGGAGGGTACCTGAGATCATGTCATGTAAAGAAGCATATCTGGACCATGACAACACGTACAAGAGCATGAAGAAAAATGGGAAGGTAAAGCAATTCCATGACAAAATTTGCGAAATACTCAATCTGCCAAAAGGATGCACGTAAAATCACATGAAAAATATCGGAAGATAACTCAGAGAGGAAGTAAGGTGTTCAATGGCCACTGGAAGCGACATACGAACACCAAACTGATAAAACGATTAAAGCTGGCAAAGAATAACAGAAATGAAACATTAATAATTATGATATAAAAAACAAATTATTTGTATTAAAAGGGCAGAAAAAACTTAGCTGTGTACATAATGAGTCCATATAATGTACAGGTTATTGTAAAAATATCAATTTGTTTTCATATCAACCATTTCTTTAAATGTAGGGGCCCATGCATGGACTAGATGCCTAATTGAAATGACCTTTGGGCAACTAAAAAACAAATTTCGATGCCTGAAGGGACAAGGAATGCAGATGAAACCAAGGAGAGTATGTGATGTTGTCGTTGCCTGCTGTATCCTCTACAACCTCAAGACGAAGATGCTTAACGAGCCTCCCGATGAAGACGAAGATGAACAGCCAGAAAATGAAGAGGGAGGAAATGACGTTGGACCGGCTGATGGTGCAAAGAAGTGGATGATGATCAAGAATACCAAGTTGGCCAGATGGTTCAAATGGACTTTGTCAACGACTTCTTTTTATGATTCAAATCTTTATTTCTTTATTATGTTTCGAGATATCTGTAAACGTGGGATGTGATCGAGAAACACTATCTTCTGGAATTATTAGCAGAAAGTGTAGAGGTCATCAAGAATAAGAATAACGACTATGAGGCCAATGTGGCAAAGAACAATGAGTGGAGCCGCACCCACCTAATGTTCCAGGCTCGTTATGGACATAGGAGAGAATTAAAAGAGCTCAAGGAGCAGTGGAAGCGCATGAAGCTGGTGGCTAAGAACGAGTGGAGTGTATGGAGTTCGGGAAGGAGATTAACAGGGAGAGGACCAGCTCCCAAATCTCCTTCAGCAATTACTACATTCGTACACAATTTGATTCACCAAGATTTTAGACAAATCAAGAACAATTTTGACTGCGATTCTGAAATTACAGCCAATAATGAAGAGGCAGTGAGGGTATCGCGCTACCTTATAGGGGAAAGCCAGGAATTCACTTGTAGTTCTTTTGGGTAAGTAAAATAATCAAGAGCTGAATGATTAAACTGTAAGTTTACTTGCCAGGGGCGGATCCAGGGGGGAGGGGGTAGGCCTACCCCCCTCATGATCTAGTGACCATATACCTCAGAACCTCAGCATCAATCGAATTAATCCAAAAGCGTGCCTGCAAGATCATCCCGGGGTGTGATATACGCTAGTCTGATGATATAGATCAACTGAAGCTACCAACCCTCAGAGACAGAAGGTACAATCATCAAGTTGAATATTCCTCATGATATTCTTTTTATTGATGGACGGATACTCTTTTTTTTTCTGTAGAGGTAAAGAAGAGGAAGCGTCGTCAGCAACTACCAGAGGCCATTTCTAGTGTTGCTTTCCATAATTATATCAAGGAAAAAGAGGAAAAGCGAAAAGATGAGGAGAACAGAAAGAAGCTACGAAAAGAAGAGCGGCTGCGAATTAAACATGAGAAAGAGCAGCAGCTAAAGGAGAGGAAAGAGAGCCGAGACAAAGAAGGAGAAGAGAGAAGAAGAAAGAAGATGGAGCTACAACAAAGGAAAGAGACGAGAAAGGCCGATGGAGAGAAGGAGCGAGAAAGGAAAAATATAGAAAAGGCGGAGACAAGACATTAAAAAAAAAAGGCCAGAATTGAACAAAATGTGGTGGAGGATATTTGCTGCGTTTGCCAAGGGCAATAGGAGCAAGAGGAGAAATGGGTGGGATGTGATTTTTGCCCCAGATGGTTGCATTTCGAGTGCTCGGATCTTTGGGGGCTGACTGACGAGGAAATACGGGCGACAACATATCGTTGTGGTAAATGCATATAACAATATTTTGCTTACACAGGTGTATAGACAGCACTGGATATATTGAGTAGTCCGTAGTATCCATTGATAAATACTTTGAAACCAAAAACCTATGTCAATCTGTCAATCATCAAGTTGAATATTCCTAATGATATTCTTTTATTGATGGACGGATACTCTTTTTTTCTTTTGTTTGTACCTTGCAGCAAGTGCTAATTCTGTATTGGTACTTACATGGTGACGAATTGTTGATAATCAAACTCCAATAATTATTGTCACATGATTATTCTCGTATTGTGATCGATGAGAATATACAGATTTATGTGGAAGACTTGAACAATGTTTTGTTTACACAGGTGTATAGACTGCACTGTACATTGAGTAGTCTGTAGTATCCATTGATAAATACTTTGAAACCAAAAACCTATGTCAATCTGTCAATCATCAAGTTGAATATTCCTAATGGTAAGGGTAAGAGCACTTATTTTGTTTTATTTATATAAGTTATGGTTGAGGGGGGCTAGCACCTCCCCCCCCCCCCCCCCCCCACCAGTACGTCAGTGGTTGTGTACAAAGTCTGTGTGGATTACAGCAAATCCAAAGGGAACGAATTAAGAAGTAGCCCAAAAATGAACGTAGCAAACTCGTTATGCTGACAGAACTGTTGAGCTCGGGTGATGAACATGCAATGTTTCAAGTGCCAAGAGAAGACAGCTCAGCCGTGACCCCCGAAGGAGGAACTTTCAAAACCTAGGAATGAAGTTCATCAGATTGAGCAAGTTATTTCGTTTTATGAAGTGAATCTTCCATCATCAAGAGACCTTCATCATATCTGAGAGGCTAGAAGACCTACAGAGAAGGGTTTAAAGTACCAAGCAGACGTCACGGTCAAGACATGGAAAGACGTCACGGTCAAGACATGGAAAGACGTCACGGTCAAGTCATGGAAAGATGCCTTTCTACTTTGGAGGAGAAAGGCAAACAAGCAACGACAGGGAAGATTCAGCAAAAGATGACTTTCCAACATCTGCGGCATCCTCACATTAGAATTCATATCCAAAACGGAAGTGTCCATTTTGTGAACCAACAAAATTCCAACTGTTCCACACAAAATTATCAAGACGGTCATGCACAAAGATATTGAAGAAGTGAAACGGGCTCTTAATCAGCCTGCTAAAGAACGAATTAAGGAGTTTGAATAGTTCAAAAAACGTGGCATCTATTTGGAAAACAAACATCAAGCAAAGCAGTGTGTGCCTGAATATCAGCAGGAAAGAAGGGGAAAGTCAGACAAGTTGGCAATGTGTGAAAATTGTTCAGGATTTTGTGAAACGGATGTACACGCATGATATTTCATGCAGACAAGTTGCAATGAAATGCGCTATACACGTGTGTACATACACTCTACTAGTACTACCTCTAGCTATACATTACAACGTCAATAATCATGTCAGACTCTATTTCTAGGACCCCCATGTTGTTTCAACCTCAAGCACCACAAACAACTCAGGTAACTTTGTTTAGTTTTGTTATATTTATTTAAATACGGTTGTTGGGGATTAATAAACAAACAAGACAAAGCAGAGATGTACATGTAGGGCCGGTTGCCCAGTATGTGTACATACACTAGCTACACAAGAATCATGTCAGACTTTTTCGAGAATGTAGACCACTTTTTCTTCAGGCTCGACAATGACCCCCATGTTGTTTCAAGCACCACGGACATTAACAACAACAACTTGGGCTAGTTTGTTTTGGTTTTAATATTTATTTAAATCCGGTTGTTGGGGATTAATAAACAAACAAGACAAAGCAGAGATGTAGGGCTGGTTGCCAAGTATGAGACCATGTGATGATACAGGTATTTTGACAGCTCAGCGAGGTCTCATTCTTGCCCAACATCTGCTACGTGTAATTCTAATACTACTGCTACTTCTTCCAGTGCTTCTACTGCTCCTTCTTCTTCTAGTTCTACATTCAACAGTACTATTACTACTACAACTTCTAGTCAAGAAACCGTGGCATAGGGCGGCGATTCTGCATCTTGCCAGCCCACTGTCGAATTCAGCTCGTCCCAGATAAATCAGCAGCAGAGCATCCAGAAAGTTTTTCATTTTCATGGATGCAATGTGAATATCTATAATAACTGATTGTAAATCCACTGTAAATATTAAGTAATCTATGTTCAAACTGTAAATGCGTTGTTTTGCCTGTTTTGACTTTTGGATTTTATAATGAAGCCAGGAATTTCAGGGCATGCCAATTTCAGCCGTCTCAGTGTCTGATTCAAGTTCTATGGATTTTATATTTGCTCAAGGCAAGTGGAATCCCGTGAACTTTTTGGTGATTAGCAAGCCTGCAAGGTCTTAACTCTTATCTTTCATGTGTCGCTATTTTATAAAATAAATAACGCACTTGATCCTGTTGTGCATAACGTGAATACGAATATCAGGTCATTAAAAACATTCTTAAATGCTACTCATTTCAAAATGAGAGGAAGAAAAATCATCATCACGAGTTAAAAAATTGTTCACTGTTGATAGAAAACAAACCCGTCTTTATAGAATTGAATTTGTTCAGTTGCCTTGATATGTCCATGACCTTTAACCTTAAGGGGTTACTCGCTTGACCCCTCGACCCTACTTGAAAAATCATCATCATGAGTTAAAATGTTGTTCACTGTTGATAGAAAACAAACCCGTCTTTATAGAATTGAATTTGTTCAGTTGCCTTGATATGTCCTCCATGACCTCTGACCTTTAGGGGTTACTGGCTTGACCCCTTGACCCTACTCCACTCTCCACACTCCCCCGTTCTGTGGTGGCGACGCTGCCGGGCTCCAGGGTCCCGTCCCATGATGCACCATCAATGATGACGCCCTCGTCTGAGAGCTGGAGGCTCGGGTTGCGCTGCAGCATGTGTCTGGCCCCTAGAGGGAGCCCTACTGGTAGTTGGGAATCGGCCGAGGAGTCTAGTTTGACCAGCGTGTTCATGGCTTCGGCTAAGAAGTTTGGGGTGCTGAGATGGTCGCGGGTAGCTCTCTCTTGCACCTGGGCATACACATGAGAAATATTACATTTACAATGAATTTTTTATCAAGTAACTTCCTGAAAGCATATATGTACAAGCAGAACAGTTTACTTGCATTTGTTATATCGCCAGTCTTATGACAGGTTGTACCAACGTCTTCCACATTCATGAATTCATTTTCAATAACAAGTGCCAAACTCTATCGTCCACTGCCAGTGCAATATGGAGACTTCAGTAGCTCATATAATTTATCATAACCTGTTCTTGTGCTAGTCCAACATATTTTATCACCTATATCATCATCATACTTGAAAATTTGAAGAAGTTTATAACCCTACAAGAGCTTAATTTTTAAAAAATACAGTCAAACCTGTCTATAAAGTCACCAGTGGGAAACAGAGAATGTGGCCACTGTAGCCAGGTGGTCACAAAACATATTTTGTTGACATCTTTGTTGCTATTTTTTTTCTTTTTGTTATTCAACACAGAAAATAACCAAAGAACTTTGACTCGACCTATTCATAATAAACCTTTACCTACGGGAACCATGTGGCCCCTGTACTAAGCCTATGGGAAGGAGACAATTCAGAAGTTAACAGGTTAAATACTCCTTGAGAGTCAGGGACCAGGGGGGTGTTTCAGAAAGATCCTAAATCGAACTTATCTGTTAGTTGGACTTAAAAATTATGGAGAGCCATTTGTAGCCATAAAATGAAATATATTCAAAAGGCGAAAAATTCAAGTATTTTAGACTTTTTATAAATTCCACATCAAGAACAAGAAATCTCCTTGATAAAAGAAAATATGAATGATTTGAATCAACATTTTATGCCTTATAAAATAACTTTTCCAAAATATTTTCATAGATGCTAACGGCTATCCATAATTGTAAAGTCCAACTTAGAGATAAGTTCATCTTTGCGAAACACCCCCCTGAAGATACGCATGGTGAATACTAGTTACTTGATATAAAAGTTTAACTATCTTCACCTGGTTGACATGGACGTTTCTCAATCTCTCCTCCAACCCTTGCTGCACCAGTTCTTCCTCGGTCACTCCCACCTCACCAAAATACTCCCTCATCTGCTCAGTCATAGGTGCTAGCGTTGTTCCCTCCGCTCCTCCTGATGGCAGACGACTGCTGGGAACACCCCTGCCGTTGAATGGACCAGTCTGGTTCTGATGGTGTGATGTGTATGAGGAGCCTCCCTGATTGGCCCCTGCGAATGATGCTGAACTGTGATAGGCCGAGTTGTAGGTAGCATGGGAGGATTGACTTGTTGGATGGGGGTGTGTTTGAGTACTATGGCTTGAGGGATAGTGAAGTGGCGATATTTCATTGGATGAGAGACTACTGTGATGCAGATTTGGTGAGAGTTCATTTGTTTGCAGAGGGTCAAAAGTCACGCCAAATTCACTGTTACCAGGTGCAGCAAACGACCCAGACAAATTCTGCCTTATTTGATCCAACTCTCGCTGATCTGCGTCAAAGTCAATATTTGGGGGTCTGGTTGGTAACACTCTACTTCGCGTTTGGCTACTGGATATATCACCAAGTCTAAACCGGTCTCTCGTCGGTGAATTCGAGACAGGAGCGGAATCATCGTCGTCATCATCGCTCTCATTCAGAAGCGATGTCAGCGATTCAAGTTCATATTTCTCCTGTGGCGTAAGAGGACGGGGTTGATTTCTAGGGGTATTTGATGAGGGCAGAGCTGGTGAAGCTGAGCGCAAGCTGGACGAATTTGCGTAATGGAGATCATCCGCCATCAGACGGCTGACCCATTTCTTGGTGGCATGCTCCGACGAGCAACGTCCCGTTTGATCATCCAGATGCGCCAATCTGGCGTAGTAATCGCTCTGGCGATCCCCCTCAAGGTCAAGACCAGTATCGCCATATCTATTCCCAGCCCCATCCATGTGCACACCTGCTAATAAATTACTCAAGTTTGGGACAGACTTTGCCGCACGCATCTCTCTGGATGTCGGCTTTGACTTGTCGTGGCCGTTCTTCCCGCGGCGAGCTCTTGTGCGCATCTGCCCGATGCGACTAAGGACGTCCTCGTACGGTGAGAGCTCCCTCTTGTGTTCGCTGCGAGGTGTGCTGGCTCTGCTGTGCTGAGCCTGCATGGAGGATAAGCCAATGTTGAGAGCATGCGTGCGGTTATGACCGGTGACCCGATGTTGAGGGTGTCCGACCAGTGCTTGGAGTGCATGCATGCCTGAGATGTGCGGATCTACCAGTCTCTGCCCCCTGTGATGCCCCAGCCCGGGGGTACTGTGTTGGGAATCAGAGAGATAGTCCGTAGACCGCGGATCTCCCTGCAGGCTTGTGCTTCTAGGAGATTGAAGGTACGCTTGATATGGTAAGCCCGTCACAGGATCATACAATGTGCACGTCTGCGCTGAGGTGTTCATCACCTGCACATGCTGTCTGGAGGCTACGTCACTCCCGGGTGGAATACTGTAAGGTGATTGGTTTAGCCCATGAACAGGGAACTGTGATTGGCGAGTTTGGAAAGTACCCAGATGTGATTGGTTAATGGGGCCTGGCATGCCCTGGAATGGACCCACCTGCTGATGATGGAGCGGTGCAACATTCCCATGAAGCGCATGCAGCGGGTGACCATTCACATAGCTTGGAGATGGATTCGCATTCTGATTCCTGTTCAAGTAACGCTGAAATCCACCTGCATTGGAAGCAGTAAGATGAGGAGAGTTCACATCCTGCACTTGTTGATCAGGACCCTGCAGTCTGCCTGCCATGTGTGGATGGACATCTTGCACTGGCATCCCAACATTATCATAATGTTGCGCAACCCTTCCATCCGTTTCATCAGTTTGCGGCTGACTCTGGCGTGCCACACCCGGGATCCGCCCCGCCCAGAAATCCTGACTAGGTCGGATCCACTGCGACTGTTCTCTTTCCTTCCCTCTCTCATCTTTATCCTTCTCCACTCTTACATCTTCTTTCTCTTCCTTTGCTCCATCGTCAGTTCTCCTTTCCTCATCTGCAACTTTCCTCCCTCTCCCGTCAGAATCGCTCTTCCTATCGTCTGCCTTCTCTTCCACCTTCCCTTTTGACGATCGTCTCTTTGACCTTTGACCTCTGACCTCAACCTCCTTGCTCGGTGTGTGCCTCCCTATCCTTCTCAGCAAGGGATCATCAACCTCAGACTCCATCTCCTCCCTCTTCTCTTCCTCTGCTTCCATCCTTGCTTCTTCCACCCCATCGCCGTCCTTCCTCTCACGGATGACACCTTTCGTCTTCTCCCGCTGACTGTCATCACGGGAACCGACGACCTCGCCCTGCCACTTTTTCGCCAGGAGGACATCTTTCTCGCTGGCCAGGTCATTGGTGTTCAGGACTCTTAGAAGAACAGCACATCTGTCAAATAGAGAATGAAAGAAAGAGACTCATAAACGAAGGCAATGTCCTGTGATGTAACTTCATACTCAAAGGGATAACATATGATCGTTAATGGAGTTGAAAATAAACCCCTATAGACTTTTGAAAAAATATGACCCATTTTTGCCTTAAAGCAGGACTGCACTACATGTAGCTACTGTACTTTTGCCCTCTATATAGCCAACAATGCCTAAGCAGTACCCGTTGATCCCTCATGGTCCTCTTTTTATTATGTTAATTGAGAGCTGATTTGATGAGATAACCATCTGCCAGTGATCTCACAGAGAGGTCCAATCCCTCCTGGCAAAACAAGTGTGATGGGCTTTGAAGCAGGTACAAAATGTGCTCTAAATCTCTACTTTTAGCTAACCTTCTTATATTTGCTTCCAGGGCCCCGTCTAACAAAGAGTTGATATCAATTGCTACTTATTCGCGATTGATATCAATCGCAACTATGTACATAAGAGATAGGAGACTGCAAACTTGCGATTGATTGGAGGACTTGCGATCGATTTGGACCAATCGTAAGTCTTTGTAATAAGAGATAGGAGACTGCAAACTTGCGATTGATTGGAGAACTTGCGATCGATTTGGATCAATCGTAAGTCTTTGTAAAACGGGGGCAAGGTTTTGAAAGGTCTGCCAGGGGAATCTATAGTCAACAATTCAACGGCAATGTATCGTGTAGAGTGGGGGCCAAGATCCAACTTTACGGTTCTCACCTAGATTGGGGGCCATGATAATAATAATAATAATCGCTTCTTGTATAGCGCTCATGTCAGTCAGATTTGACCCTCCTGGCGCTCCTCAAACTTTACGGTTCTCACCTGTTTGCTAAATGCTTGGCTTTCTTCTTCCTCACTTTCTCCCCGACCGTCTCGACATACTCCATCATCGACGTCACATCCTCCTCTTTGGGCGAAGGATGCTTACGAAGGAACCGCTCCGAGTCCTCGATCCAGCGATACTCCGCATCTCCGACGTCCTGGCCACGACGACGACTCTTGGTTCGCTCCGATCGGATGTCGTTGTGGACGTCGACGATGTCGGATGGAAGAAACTTGAGTGCTCTTACGCACCACCTTGCAATCTGGGAAGGAAGTGTGAGTGAGGAGATTGTTAAGCATGGGTCATGTTTCATAAAACTTGTTATCAATAACAAATTTTAGATTTTTGTCTTAACATTTTTATGACAACTTTGCTCTCACCTAATCAAGTGCCATGATTTCAGTACCTTATATCAGTTATTGTAACAAGTTTTACGAAACAAGGTTGTAGCGCATACTACACAATCCTCCTGCGATGACTGTTCACATGTTTCATAAGTAATGAATTGAAGACCCGCCCAAGAACAAACCTACGGATAGTAGACCTACCTTGTCATACAGACCATAGAAGCTCCTCACAGTAGACAATACGTGGCGCCGATCATCTAACATGCTCTGGTAGTTCTCGGCATGCCCTTCCAAAGCCCTGACCGCACTCCTCAAATTGGCAAACCCGTTGCCACCTTCACTGACGAGTGTTTGAAACTCTTCTTTTAGGCCGTCTGCTTGTGCTAATTTGTCCTGTAGAAAAGAGAATGGTATGCGGTTGGGTGATTGGCTCATAAACCTGGGGCACACTCGCAAAACATGGAAGGAGACATAAAAGATGGTACAACAGGTACACCAAGGTGAATGTCGAGGCTTTGAGACAGGCCATAAAGGAAACTAAACATCGAAACCCAAGATGTTGGAAGATAAACTTGTAAAGTTGGAACACATGGAAAAGTTGTCCACTGCTACGTACCGTGGACTTTACAGATTCAGCCAATTTAAAATCTCCATGCTACCTATCATGATTACATTTTTAAAAGACTTAATTTTCTTATCTTATGTCCGATGTGCTTCTCTGATTTTCCTGATTTCTATTTAATTAGTTTGCTATTAAGATTGGATTTCAGTCCCTATGTGTGTGTGCACATAGCACTGTAAACGGCTGCAGCAAAAATAAAGCGAGACAAGCATAGTGAATTTTTATTCAAATAAATACATTCTATTCGTATCCACTCATAGCATACAAAGAAACTGAACAAGAGATGTTTAATTCTTTTTTTAATTGATGTTTTTGATGGGCCATAACTAATCCTCTCACAGGCTGTATGTGGACTGTGGGGCGCTATGAACCGGGGCCCTAGGGGTTATTACTTACCACCGCAAGTGACGCCACACCCGTTTCAAAGTGATTACATAACATCTCCGCCCTTCCGAGAGAGTCAGCTATCTCAAGTCTCTTCAGCCCTGTCGGACCTTCATTCAGTAACCAGTTTGAAAGCTATAAAGATAAAATATCAACATATAATATTCTCATATAATTTTAATCTTTAATTTTCATTCATCAAACATAAGTTAGCAACATGTAGTATTATTGTAAGCCATATTAATTAAGGATTTCGTTTTGAGCCCATGGTTGACTTTATAACGTGAATGAAACATTATTGCAGGGGTTTGCACAGTGTAAATTTCCCAAATTTTCAAACTCTTGAAATGGTAAAGTATGGTGGCAAAATATCAATTATTAGCAAAATTACAGTCATTTTTATTTTCATAAAATGAATTTTGTACCTGGCAAAGTTTTACTACCCATTTGTTATGTACAAAATGAGGCATCAATTTGTACTCATGAAGTAAAAACCACAAAGTCCTTTGATCTGATGTTCATAGCCCCTGCCATCAATATTTGCATGAGCGTTGGGTCTGTAAACCTTTCCCTCGGTATTGACCACTCAGCAAAGAAATAAAATCTCAATTTTTTAAGGATGACAAACAAAATGAGCCTCCCGCCCCCCTCCCCCTCCCCCGAGAAAAAGAAAACCAAAGAAAACTAAATGAAAGAGAAGAAAGTACACGCTCTGATAAATAAGTACTTACATTCTGCATCTCCTCAAGGAGATCGATCCGTTTCATTTCATCCTCCACGCGACCTTCGACCCTGTCCCTGGCCGCATCAAGCCTCTGCTTCATCATGGTAAGCTTCTCCCTGCAGTACTCCGCCAGCAGACGGACTTCACGGAAGACAGGCTTCTGAGCCACCGCGGCATACACCTCATCGATGTCAGATTGGTTGATCTTGGATAGGAGGTCATCGCACTCTTGGCTCAAGGACTCTAGGCCAAGTTCCCTATATGACAATAGGATATATAGGTTAAAGTTTACCTCAAAGCAGAGCATCCTCTATTGCTGGGGTACTGGTCAACATATAATCCAATATCAACGGCAATGACAAGACAAGACAGTAAAAGTATGAACCGTATTTCTTAAGTGTGAACCAAGTGATTTTGATATACTGCAAACAGTGTTCTTACGTCACAATAGAGAGCATGCAAAGTGCGCTGGTTCTCATACGCGTAATAGATGCACAATGAAAACTACAAAATACCCGGATGTTGGCTCTACATATTGCCTGCTAGTTTAACACGCATTTTGCCATTGAATTTTCTGATTGGGCAATATATTTTGTCCATTGGTTGACTGTATTAATATTGACCGGCAAATTACACACAGAATCCCATTGAATTTTCTGAGCGGTGAAACTGTTTGTGTTTGTGCGAAGTTTTGTTAGCTTATCAATTAAACTTAAAGGGTAATACCATTCAAAAATTGCCCTGCTCAGATGTCTGATATGGTTAATAATACATTACATATACTCTTTTTAGAACACAGGACTAATTCCTAACAAGAAAAATGAAGCAACAAAACAAGAACCATGTGCGATTAAAAGAAAGAACTATTGTTTAGCCCAAAGAAAACTCTCTGCCCTGAATGAAACCAAAGATCACGTACCTGAAGAGATCTCTGATTAGCTGTTGCATGTTCTCTCGCTGTCTCTCTAGATCCTCTCTCGTCTCCCCGAGATCATAACTCTCCAGGTCCTCAAGCCTGGAGAAGGCATCAGGCAGCTTTGGGATCACCTCTTCGTAACACACAAAGAAAGGTTCAACAGTCTATATCATAAAAAGAAAGAGTAGAAAATCTATCACAACATTGATCTATGGAAGCTTTGGGATCACCTCTTCATAACAAACAAAGGTTCAACAGTCTATATTATAAATAGAAAGAGTAGAAACATCTATCACATATTCCTGGATCTCTTACAGATGGTAATATCTTCATTTAGGACCCTTTAGCATGCTAGAAATAAAGTCTGTTGTAATGAATGACCTGCTTTAGGGACCACCTGTTTGAAAAAGATTACATGTACATGTACACATGTATCTATATCTGTAGAGTGTAGACCCTACCCGGGGATACCAATTACTTTTAATCAATTAGTCTGAAAATGTCTTTTCGAGGTAGTAGAATCACCCTATTGTTCTTCATAAAAAAAGAGAAAAATGGCAAACTCTTTTAATATTTCTGATGAGATTCATCACTAGTGCGTAGTCATAATTTTAATTTTGTGTAATCTCTCTATCCATCTTCAAACTATCAATGCAATGCATAGCCATAAACAAACGATCCTCATGGAAAAACACACACGCCCGTAATTTCAATGCATCACAAATTTAGTGTACTTGTTCCCTCCACATTCAGGTACATAACAACAAGTTCAGAAACGCCCAAACCCCTTGAATAGGATGCAAAATGAAGGTCAGATAGAATGCCAAAATCGTTCCACAAACATTATTATATCAACTAAAGTACAGTGAAACCTGTATATAAAGACCATCCAAGAGACAAGAAAAGTGGTCTTTACAGACAGGTGGTCTCTATGTACAGGTTCCTTTAATACTACATGTTTCAATGAGAAACAATTTTCAAGGGAAACAACAATTTTGGTCTGTGTAGACAGGTGGTCGATAAACCAAGTTTGACTGTACATGTTAAAGTTCCACAAACTATATATTTTTTTTCCATATTAAAGTATTGTGCAAAAATACCTCAGGGTACTTACATGAAGATGTTTTTTTGTATTCCCATAACAATGACTGATAATAATATAAATAACAATAAGACATCTTTTTTTACCAAGGTTGGCATCTGCAATGATATCATTACCCAGGCTTTTGCCATGCTACCATGATAAGGCACTCAAGCATTCAATGAATTTCTTCCTACCAGGTACCCAATTACTACACTAGGGTGGAGAGTGGCAAGTATAGATGACTATCTTTCCAAACAAAATTAGTGCCGCAACGGGACTCGAACCGCAAACCATGTGATCCACTAGACCACGACACCTCTACCGATCAAAAATACTTCCACTTAAGTTAATCTTTTGGGTACTGCACTTTGCATAAGAACACATTAAATCGAAAAACAGCACACACAAAAAGAACAAATTGGTTTATTAAATGTTCAGGGACTGTTCAGTAGAGAGCCAACACCAAAAATCTAAAAAAAAATTAAAGTCCTCATCAAACGAATGCACCGTACACAGGTTACTTGTTAATGGCCCTTAGTCGGCTGTTAGAGACGGTCAATGATTAGAGACGGTCAGTTGTTAGGGATGGTCAGTAGAGCTGCCCCGAGGAAGACCATATGACGCAATGACTTACGCTCTGGTTTCAACAAAGGAACATGATTTTACACGAGACAAATATAAAAGAAAGATGAGGTGATTCTCATTAATAATACCGCTTGATAATGAAACATATATGTTTTTGGGGCGCAAGATTTTCCAATGTTTCTCATGTCATTTAGCCCAAGATTGAGTTGTAAAATCACACCCTCTTCTTTTGTTTTCTTTCTTTTTTGGGGGGGATGCAAGATTATATACATGTATATGTTAGTCTTCGCCCCTGTGGATATACATGTATTCTGCACCCCACCCCAACAAATTGCTGATGAGAATATTGTACCCTTAACACCCCCACCCTATTTTTCTTTTTAAAAAACAAAAGGTGAATTAATTGAAATTAATTACAAGATTAGAAAAAGCAAGCTTATGTTTTTGTACTGCATTAAATATCTTAAATCAATCATTTGATTTCCAACATGTCCTCTTCAATCAATTACAAAATTTATTCATGATTTTTTTTCTTCATGTGGGACTTACCTTCCTAAACCGAACCCAAGCACTGTGTGAGTACTGCAGGTATCCGCCAAGATCCGCAGTCAACTGACTCTTATCAACATGGTTGTACAAGTCCATTTCATCTACTACCATGACGGTCTAAGGGAATAGATATAATAATAATAATTTATGTTTATAATGGTCCTAGAAAAGCGGGTGCTGCTTCAAACGATTAGAAAGAGACAGAAGAAATGGCTTGGACACATCATGCGGCATGATAGCTTGATGATCAGAGTCCTTGAAGGCCGTCTACATGGAAAGAAGTTGAGGGGAAGACCTCGTAAAGGCTTTCTAGATGATTTGATTGCGGAATGTGGAGCAACGGGATATGAAATGCTGAAACGGATGGCTAATGACCGAAGTACTTGGAGAGACACTTGAAGTAGAACTCTGATTGGGTCCCTGAACCTGTCATAAACTGACAGATCAATATTGATGATAAATGCGCCTAATACTTTGTTTCTAGGCACAGTACATATTATTACCCCGGTCATCGGATTCAGGCTTACCCGCACACAATGTACGCACATTTCCACTCCCTGGGGAGCATAATAAAGATAGTGGGTTCTTGTATAGGCAGCGCTCATGTCTTTCAGACCTGACACGCTTGGCGCTCCACAGTTATTACCCCGGCTTAAGCATGGATGTGACTTTTTTCTCTCTACACTCACCTGGAAGAGGGTAGATGGGATGTGTTTATTGCTCTTCTTCTTACTCTGCCTGAGAGCGAGTAAGGTCTGTGTGTCTTTGAGGCACTTCTTGTCGATGGGTTGTATCAGGTACAGCATGAATGGACCGACCGCACTGCTTGTCTCAGCCTGCAATGACACAACAAAGATTACAGTTCAGGGGTGAAAGTGAGCACTAAAAAAAATTAAAAGGTTTTTTTTTCCCCTCAACCACGCTCCCCTTCAGTAAAAAAAAGAAGGATTCGGGGAAGAAAAAAAATGTCATCTAACAACATTCCCCGCGTTTTGAGTAAGAAAATTGGGAAAAAAAGGGGTAAAATCAGGAAGAAAACAACAATTTTGGGAGAAAAAAAATAAAATAAAAACAAAATATTTAAAAAAATTAAAAATCTTGAAACCAATTTTAATCGGGTAATTATCAGGGCCGACAGTTTCAAGTTTATTGATACAAGCCCTCAATGTCCGATTATCATCAGACATGAACAATAATACATTGGGACAAAATAGTTGAAAATAAAGATTACATGAAGCTTAGACTTTTTCCTAAATGAATTTTTTAAAATAATAATGCAGTGTTTTTTTAGCTCTCTGAGGAATACAATATAGATATTTTACCTGTAGACTGTTGAGGGAAGACTTGAGCATGGAGATGAAATCTAATGTTGAAAAACGCAGATCGGCAATGAAGGCAAAACCATGGACCTTGGTGGTGGGGCTAAATGAACAAATAGAAAAAGAAAAATTACATTCCAGTTTGATTTTTCTCCTGACTTAAAAAGAAGGACGAGTTCTGGAAAGAGGTGAAAAATAATTTGTGAGCATTTTCATTGTTATTATGCAAGTGTGGAAGAACATCAGAGAAATGAATGTTCCCTGAAAAGCATGATTCTTCAAATGCCTTCATATTCTAAATATGACATGTAACAGCTTAAAAATGAGGACTACATTTTATGCCACATGTTTGTGTAGTCCATTATACATCTTTTTGTGTACAGTACTATTACTTTTACCAAGACTGGGCCAACTTTCTTATCATTTTCATGATTCCAGAACCTTGCAGTACACACCAATACTTACATACACCTGTATGCTTCATGATCAACTTTTTCTGATCAATTCCACACCGTTTCTTCAACAATGCAACCGCATGACCAAAAATGAACTCTATCTTTAACCATTATTCAAGACAGATCATATTTGTGATAAATTACACGTAAACGATCGACCACTATATACACAAGAGGCCTGTCCTCATCAGCTCAAGATTGCCAAATAGCCCGCTATTTCTGGTTTGGGAAATAATCCCGAAGTTACAAAACCCGTTTTCATCAGATTGAGACTTGACCTCAAAACTTGAAACGAGCTCAAGAAATTTGCTCGAGATATTTTGCTCAGCGTTCGCGCATAATCTGAGTCTTCAGGCTGGAGAAGACGCAACCGGACAAATAGCGAGATAATTTGCCAAATAGCAGGATATTTTGCAAACTAGCCCAAGATATCTTGGGATGATTATCTCGACCAAATATCCCGCTAATTGCAACTTCGGGCTGATAAAGACACAAATTAACTGGATAATTTGCGATCGGGATAGTTCAAATAGCGGGATATCTGGCAATCTCGAGATATCTGGCAATCTCGAGCTGATGAAGACAGCTCCACATTAATACCCACCTTGTGATGTTGATGTAGTAGCGCAGAATACGATCAAGACCGCTCCCCATGACCCTTGACTCCAGTATCCCATGATTCTGTGCAGGAAAGGTCACGAGAGGTCGTCCGCTCTGATCCCGTCCACCTGCTCAATAAAGGGGTTAACAAAGTATAGTCACGACTTTGGGTTAAAGTTCATTGCCGACAAATATGTAGGACTCTGGCATAGCAGGTATTGATTACATCAGGGCCCTGTCTTACAAAGAGTTACAATTGATCCAAATTTATCGCAAGTCCTCCAATCAATCGCAAGTTTGCAGTCTCCTATCTCTTATGTACATAGTTGGGATTGATGTCACCTCTTTGTAAGACAGGGCCCTGGGTGGAGAGTGGCAAATGTGGAATACTGTCAGTTCTAATGAGAATGCATTCACAAGCTATTTGTGCATACATAATGAGCCCATAACATTTTACCTTTGACCTCATGACCCAAGAATCTACTCAGTTCATTGGCTCTGCAAGATATATTCATGATCTAAGTTTGGCAGGAATCCATCAATCTGTTGTTGAGATAACGCGATCACGAGCTGTTTTTGCATACATAATGAGCCCTGTGACCTTTACCTTTGACCTCGTGACCCCAAAATCTTATCAGTTTATCGGCTCTGCAAGATATACATGACCAAAGTTTGGCAGGAATCCATCAATCAGTTCTTCAGATAACGCGATCACGAGAACGGGACGTACGGAACGACGGACGGACGGACGGACGGACGGACAACCCAAAAACATAATGCCTCCGGCTACTTCGTAACGGAGGCATAAAAACAAAGAATTACAAATAAACCTTAATGGCCAAATATGGTAGCCCTCTGACATATCAGCTAGGTACCTTTTACATCTGGGCCCCATTTCACAAAACTTGTCATCAGTGACAAATGACAGTTTTTTGTTCTTTAAGCTAGTAAAATCCTTGCTTTCTGATTGGTTATCAGCAGACTTGTCATTGACTTTTGTAATTTGTAATTGAAAAAAGGCTTTGTGAAATGGGTCTGTTTTGACTTTTGGATTTTATAATGAAGCCAGGAATTTCAGCTGTCTGATGTAGACTCGTCTTTAGACCCCCTATGGATTTTATTTTTAATGAAACAATGAATCCCATGGACTTTTTGGTAAGCCTGCAAGGTCTTACTCTTATTTTAGTCTAGTAGAACCAACATAACTCTAGATCTAGATCGAACTCTCGTAGACTCTAACTTAAGATCTAAACTTTTGTTTGTTGCTATTTGTGTCGCTATTTTATAAAACAAATAACGCACGGCCCAGAGTGCAATAGCGGTGAATGCAGTACGCGCGAGGTTTCTTTAGATTGGTGCAGTGGGGCTTTAAGACGGCCACATACATACATGTACAATAATATGTATGTAGTGCTCTGGCATATTGGGTTGAACTTCATTGAAGAAAAAAATGTTCTTTAAATTGAGAAGACTGTTTTAACATCATGCTTGTGCCAGTGTGTAATTGTGCTTCCTGGGCTTCAAAAATTACTCTTTCAAAGGGTGGATCCACAGTGACCCCCTCCCTCCTCCCACGTTTACATTCCCTTCCTGAGTGACCTTTGACTTACCTGACATGATAGCGACCTCTGAATGTAGGAGGTCCTCGTCTGGCATCCTGGCTACAGGCTCCATCCGCAACAACTCACCTGAAGATCAAAAAAATAATACATATATTTATAATACAAACAAATTAATAACATACACTGTACAGTACTGGGGGTTTTTCACAAAGATCCTAAGTACAACTTAACACTAAATTGGACTTAAAAATTATGGACAGCCATTGGAGCCTTACAATGAAATATATTCAAAAGAAGAAATTCAAGTATTTTAGAATTTTTTATAACTTCCACATCAAGAACATGAAATCTCCTTGATGATAGAAAATATAATGATTTTAATCAACATTTTATGCCTTTCAAAATAACTTTTACAAAACATTTTCAAAGATGATAACGGCTTTCCATAATTTTTAAGTCCAACTAAGAGATAAGTTCAACTTAGAATCTTTGACCCCGTTCTCACTCACTTCGTTGGAGCGCTCTGGAGTGCTCTAACTAAGACCCGCTCCTCAGGAGTGGTTCTTAGGTGAGTGAGAACGCTCAAAGTGGTCCAGGAAGCGGACTTCTGGACCGCTCCAGAAGTCCACCTTCCGAGGTGGTCTTGAGGAGCGGGTCTTATTAAGAGCGCTCCAGAGCGCTCTAACGTGCAATGTGAACGGAAAGCGTACTTTGAACGGAAGTGACGTTCCGCGCGATGAGCGATCGGGCAGGCACTACACATATACATGTATACGGGACGCGTGGCGAACGGGACATCAGGTGACATAGGGTTTGGATTCCGCGCGCGAAAAAATTGACCCGCCTACCTGAGCTGCCATAGCAACAAGACCACTTTGACTCGTGGAGCGGTTTGAGCCATAAAAACTGCTCGGAGTGTGAACGCTCGCAAACCGTTCCTCAAGACCAGTTCCTCTGGAGCGGTCTGGAGCGGTCTAACTAAGACCACTTTCAAAGTGAGTGAGAACGGCGTCTTTGTGAAACACCCCCCAGATCTACAAAATACTGTATAGGTTGGTATATCATTTTTGTGAGGAACTCATCATTGTGAGGTATGCAATGCATGCATGAATGTGTATTGCAAGTTTTTGTTGTTCATCATCAAGAAAACAACAACACCTGCAGGTGTTTGTATCTCCATCCTTAACAAAAATATTTTTACACAACAAAAATTGTATTAAAATGATTTGAGTTAACAAGGCCTTTCTTGCTCCAGGACCCAGAAGAGATACGTATTCAACATATGAGCAATTTACCCTAATAAGTGACCAAATACTGGGTGTAGATGTATATCTCTATCAGTATCAGGCTGAATAGCAGAATAACAAAATTTGATTTTAACTCGGTAAATGTTCAAGCAATATTGTAGATTTTCTAGCGACAGTTGAAGTTCAGGAAGACAGAGTAATACAAAAATAATATTGATCTGTCATCCGGGTACTGCCCTTGAAATAATAGGCCTAGACTTAACACTGATTTATTGCACCACTTGGAAGCCAACTACTCTGTATAAATACCAACGTAGGTTTCAATCGCATATTATCATCAGTAGGGGCGCTGGTCCGAGAATGAGGATCGTCCTCATAAACGAGGATATTCTCATAAACGCAGACAAAATGCGCCCTCAAAAATAAGGACCGTCTGTATTTCGAGGACATATTTTTTTGGGGGGCGCTCTGCGGGTTTCGGGTTACCGAACGGCCAGCTGGCTACTGTGGGAATATAACCCTAGAGGTCTAGACTAGTTCACCGTCTACTTTTATGGGTTGTCCGTCTTCCCAAGGATTTATTTATTACTCATAATGTGAAAGTCTCTGTAGAGTAAGACCGCCAAACTTCGGACACTTAAGACAAAACGGGGGAAAACATTAAATTCTTTTTTAATTATTGAAAGATCAAATATACTATTATTGTGCAAATACTGTTTATGTATGTCATGTAAAATAAAATGAGTAAAGGAAATGGAAAACTAGAATTATTTACTTACCCGCCGAACCTGTTTTCATACCAAGCTTCGGACGTTCATGTGTAGCGCACGTAAAGCGCATAGCGCACGTATATCGCACGTATAGTGCGCGGGCTAAAGTGCGCATTCATCGAAGGTTTGGAAACCAGATCAAAATCGTTCGACGTGGGTAAGTTTGACTGCGTTGATTTCATGAAAAAAATATTATTTTCTCGTTTTGGGTAGATTTAAGTTAGGTAGAACTATCAGAAAGGTGTTTTTCACAACATTCGTACAATATTTTGGTGCTAAAATCTTACGAAAGCGCTATTTTTTTGTAGTCAAAATGACACTCAATGTTGCCTGTCCGAAGCTTGGAAGAGCGCCATCTTCTGGTAGGGGAATCTATCTAGTATCCCTAGGTCTTTGGTAACGGCCGCCATTAGAAAATTTTCGCGATAGAGAAAAAGTATCTCATAAGCTCCCATAATTTTGGCAGAAACCACCTGAAATATGCCAAGGATTTGTTGGTTATCGATATATTGGAGGCTCTAGACCCTAGATCTACACCTTAACTCCCCTGTTAAGGAACTGTAAAAATCTAGGTAACCTGAAATCTGTCTCCGAAGTCGATGTTTTTTGTGAGTTTTGCAGACGGCAACCTGCCCTAACTTTTTGTACTAATGATATAGGTTAGTAGTGTAGACCTTTAATAGGGTGTCTGATCGCGCACCCAATGTTGTGTGCTAAAACCCTTCCCATAGAGATTGTACGCTTCCCTATGTGGTCTACGTGCATTGCGCGACCATCCAAAATTGGTCAATGATTTTATGAAAAAATTTGAAATTCAAACCTTTATAACAAATGATCCTGAAGGTGAAACTCAATAAATGAGGTGTCATATGAAAGAGCAGGTTTTTCTCCATATTCCCCATCGGGGGCCACCCCCAGAATTCTAAAAATATCTTGGTCAAAACAGCGATTGAAATGTTGTTTGCATCCTAGCTCCAAAATTTGCCACTTTCCTGAGCTGCCGCCCCGCGGCTTAAGCAGGGCTAGACGTAAGGATAATATCCAGATGCTTTTTTTTTCGCTAGCCCCAAGGGATCATTTGTTATAACAGTTTGAAAATACCCTTCCCACATTTTTGGAATCAGCTAATTAGGGAGGCGTGAGCTCCGCTCAGTCCAAACCATGGTTACATCGTAACATGTGCGCTTATAGTGAATGAAAGTATGGGTGGCCGATTCTCGCCATAGAACCCGGAAGTGAATACACGTTGTAGTCAATGGCAATATCGCGGAGATTTGTCTCCGCGATATTGCCATTGACTACAACGTGTATTCACTTCCGGGTTCTATAGCGGGAACGGCCACCCATACTAGTCAATGGCACATATCGCGGAGACAGCGTGGCTCAAGCTTGCAAGTCGCGCATTGGCTGAGCAACTTGCGTACGATATGCATACGCTTGCATATCGCGCGATACAGCTGTTTGGCTAAATTTAGCAAAACAACATAACTCTGCGTGTACGTCTTTTTCGTCGATTCTGAGCAAAATGCTATGAATATTTCAGCATTTTGAAGGGGCTGTATCTTTTGATAGAAACATCGGCGAGACTTGAAATTTGAAATGTATTATTCTGATTACATTTTTAATTCAAATATCAAACAAAAATGGTGAAAAACGATCCCAAATTGAAAATTGAAAAATCGTTCAGACACCCTACCTTTAACTTAGTATCAAATTCATGCAAGTTACCCGCCTGAGCTAGGCTCATATTTTGCGTTCGAGCCGTTGAAGTCATTTTTGTCCAAAGCTTGCCAACGTCCAAAGTTTGGCGGTTTTACTCTAGATCTAGATCTAGATCTACAAAGTCAATGTAAAATAGACTCTAGAGTCTAGGTCTACTTCAAGAAAATTATTGAGGAATCCTTTTTTCGCATCGCCAATGCGCCGATCAAAAATATGAAACGTCTGCGAAAATGCAGACGATCCTGATTTTTGAGGACGCATCGGTCTGCTTTCACAAAGACGATCCTCGTTTATGAATACGATCCTAATTCTTGGACCAGCGCCCCTACTGATTATCGAGTCGCATATATTTTTTTCTTCGATCTAAACCCCTGGCCGCCCACCAGGCTATGCCGCCCACCGGAGCCTCTACTCTAAAAGTTAGTCTACTCTAGACTCTAAGCCTACACGCAAGGCAAAATGATTATGAAGGAAAAACTTTGCACGTCACAAAAAACTCTTAGACTAGATCTAGTAGGGCCTAGGGCCTACTTAGTCTTAGTAGGGAGGCCAATGCCCAAATCTAACTTTTTAATTACTAATTTGTTTATACTAAAACTAAGATTAAAAGAAAGCATTTACTTTCACTAAGAAAATCCACCCATCTGCCGACTCCATAGGTTCCATCAAATAGGAGATATCCAGCTGGTTTGTAGCCATTTCCTTCTACGCCTTTCCGTACGTAAGAGCCTTGAAACAATTATATTTCATGTCGCAAAGTTACGTTCATAATTAGACAGGCCCGAGGGACAAAGTTCATGATGAAGTTTAAAACTTCGCGCGAAAGTGCAATCACTCAACAGCGGCTAGCCTTGAATCGGTCGCACACGTACACACCTTCTTCTTAGTTGATCCCTCCACCGACACAGGCAAGCCCCGATGCAGGCTGAAGTCCAGCCATCAATGTGCGAACGATTACATCTTCTACTACTACGAGCCGAAGACGATGGTTCAAAAAAGGAAAGAAATATATATAATACATTGATATTTACCTTAGATGTGTATTCCAATAATTTGATTTCCTCATGAGTATTCCTTATTATCAACGATCGAGAAGTTACGAGGTCCAATTAAAATCCATCTTGCAGCGAACACAATCATAGCGCACATCCATGCATGCAACGTACGTGTACTAATATTTCTCTCACTCTCTCTCTCTCTCTCTCCCTTTCGCTATACGTAACATACACACTCACTAACCATGTATCATACAACACACCTTCAAATCATGGCTTTCATTTCAATTCTCAATTGGAGTATAGACTGCTCACGTAGACTTTTTTTTTTACTGAAATATCTTTTTTTTATCACTTCTCATACATTACTGCACGACACTCGTATCTAGTGCTGTGAGAATAAGGTACTAGGGTCTATAAATAAGACTACGCTTTGGGCACGCTCTGACCGGAGCTCAGATTATGTCGCAATACCCTTTATTTTTGGCGCGAACAATGACGTCACTGTTCACTGTTTTCCTTCTCATTTTGAGATGGATGTAGCTATAGGGCTCAAACCAACGCAAGATTGACAGAAACATCGTACTCTATCTACTTTCGAATGTTCAGTTTGTAAAAATCTGTATTTAAAAAGATATAATCTTTTTTCTTTATATTTTCTAGTTGTTAGAAGTGGCAATTGTGAACATCTGAAATGTTGATCTCTATCAAAAGTTCTTTACTCAAAACGGATCCCATATTTTTAGGGTCTACCTTCTGCCAATGAGAAGGTTTTTAGTGAGCAAACCTCTACGCCCTCTAGGATTTTCTTAGTCGGTGGTGCGAGTGCGTCAAGGTCGTCTGCAACCACAATTATTGGATTAAAAAACGTCAAAATCTGCAAGATTGTCAACAAATGGTGAAAGACTGTTACAGATCCGTAATTATAGGTATGTTGTGAAATGTATAATTGTATTTTCTTTTCATATTTTCTTCAATTTTTATTTTTACATCATTTTTTTCCCTTTGCTAATTTTTTGAAGTGGGCGACGAGCGCACAAATCGTAGGTGTAGAAGCCTTACGCCCGGGCATTGGCCTCCCTAGTCTTAGCTCGTGCAAAAAAAGACGCATTTTTCATTTTTTCGGTCCACCCTGACCCTGTTACTTCATGACTTGATGACATGATATCATCAAGTATTCAAGCAACACCATTCTCATGATTGTGGCAACATCAACATCATCCTTGACCTTATTGGGCAAGTAGCCCAACACAAAAAACCGTCAACATTTAGGCCTACAACCGCCACTGTCTTTACAGCGACTTGGTCCACACGACGCGACGGTGAACCTGCACACAACATACGGTCTACACAGCTACAGACCATGCAGACGATACGCAGTTCTTCACAAATTTAATGCACGGCCAAGTTCGCAGCGTCTGTAGCAACAACACACGATTTTGAAAATAAACCTCCCAAACGATCGTAAAAACATACTCATTCTCACAATATACTTACAAAAATTATAGTCGTCAACTTCCATATTTGATTACTAATTCGGTTCGCTTAGTAGATATGAGGATTACAGTTACGATTCATCGCATAATGGGACATTTTGTACGGAGAATTCGGGTTAGGTACCGGTAACGAAAATAACATTTCTAAATTATGAATCACAAAATGCAATCCGCAAAAGTTAGTGCCTTAAAAGACCGCAGATGGCGCTAGACCTCCACTGGCAGCAGGGCAGCGGTTTCATGAGACAGTCAATGGATCGAATGTCGGTGAACTTGTACTTATGACGGTCTCATGAGACGCTTGCTGATCCAAGGGCAGATCCGGGGGGGGGGGGGAGGGGGGAGCGGGCCTTGCCCCCCCCCCCCCCGCACACAAAAGAGAGAGAGAGAGAGAGAGAGAGAGAGAGAGAGAGAGAGAGGGGGAGAGAAGAAAAGGAAGGGAAAGGAAGAGGGAAAGAGAAGAGAAAGGAAAGGAAAGACTTAACAGGAAGAAGAAAAGAAGGGGGAAAAGGAGATCGGGGGGGGGGGGGGAGGGGGAGGGCCGAAATGGCCTTGCCTCCCAGTTTGTTACCTCCCCCCATCCCCCCCCCCCCCCCCCATCAACAAAATAAGAATTAAGGAAGAAAACGGAAAGAAAAAGGGAAAATAGAGATAAAGGGAAGGGGGAAAAAGAGGAAGAAGAAAACAAAAGAAGGGGGATATCAGTTGCAATATTCCCGCCAACAACGTGTGGATCGGGGGGGGGGGGGCAAAAGGCCCTTGCCCCCCCCTCCAGTAAACCTAAACGAGAGAGAAGGAAATGAAGGGAAAGGGAAAGAGAAGAGAAGGGAAAGAAGAAAACAAGAAGAGAAGAAAGGTAGGGGAGATCAGTTGCGATTTTCCCCGCCAACCGGTGTAGATCTGGGTGGGGGGGGGGGGGTGGGGTGGGCTTCGGGAGGCATTCCCCCCCCCCCCCCCCCCCCAAAAAAAAAAAAAAATAATAATAATAATAAATAAAAAAAAATAAAAAATAAAAAAATCGATACCGATGATTTACAAATGTTGCTGAAATGACGTAAGTGTCCGAGATTTTTCCTAACTTTTTATTAAATTATACTTTTTTATGCGTTTGTAAGAAAATGACAAATTCCTAAATTTACAGTAAGGTAAAAAATATACTTATTTAGAGGCCTACATGTCAGTGCCCGCGAAACGGCGGGGCTCGGGGGCCTCGAGCTCCCTTCACTTAAAAATAATATATTAAAAAGAAATAGAAAGAAAGAGAGGAAGAAAGAAAGAATAGTGACCTGTCAGCGTCACAAAATGATGCTCATCTGACCGTGATTAGGGCCCCTGAGCTTCTGAGGGCGCTGCCCCCTGGATTCAACCTAAGGTCCCTGCGTGCTTATTTGACGGTAATGTAATGCCTAATACCACTGAGCTTCTGCATGGTGGATAAGCCCCCTGTACCCACACGCCAATTAGTGTCGTGCCAGTGTCACAATTAATGTATCCAAAAAAATGCTCATCTGACCGTAATTAAATGTCTAAAACCCATGAGCTTCCTCGGGATCCAACCAAGGGCCCCCTGGACCTTACGCCAATTAGTGTCCTGCCAGTGTCACAAATAAGGTATCAAAATATGTTCATCTGACCGTAATTAAATGCCTACCCCCACCCGGGTTTCCGGGGCCACCGCCCCCTAGACCGCATCACGGGTTGTAAGGCGGGCCCCTAAAAATGCTTATTTGACCATTATAAAGTGCGTAAAACCCCTGAGCTTCTGGGGGCTCCACCCCCTGGACCCCACGCCAATTAGTGTCTTGCCAGTGTCACAAATAATGTATAAAAATATGCTCATCTAATCGTAATTAAATTTCCTAAAACCGCTGATTTTCCGGGGGCCTGCCCCTTGGACCCCGTCTAGGGCCCTAAGGCGGGGCCCTAGATGCTCATTTGACGGTAATTTTATGCCTTAGACCACTGAGCTTCCGGGGGCTCCGCCCCCTGGACACCACGCAAAATTAGTGTCCTGCCAGTGTCACAAAGGTATCGCAAAATATGCAGTAATAGTATAATTTTTGATCACATGACTGTGAAAATTTCCTTTATACTTCACCCAGTTTTTAGCCACATCGATATTGATACTGCTTTTACTGCAGGGCAGCGGGCGCCCTGCGACTGTTATTACTCCATCTCTGGCACATAAACCAGGGTCGAGAGGAAATATGTTGTCAAGGGTGTAAGCGGTAGTCCTGATAAGGAACAAACCAATTTTTAAAGAGAGTCAAAAGTCCCCATCAATATACCACAGTCAGTGTGCTTTCTAATATAATTTGGATATTCAGAAGCTAATTAATAACTTTATGACATTATTTTCAACGTAATATTGCTAATATAATTATATTTTCTTTAACCTATTGCCGTCCATTTCAACACTTTTTCCATCAATCTCACACTTTTCTTCATTTAAATTTGTCCCAAAACTTCCTAAACTTGCACATCTCATAATCAAATTCGTCTTTAGTCATTCGTATTCTTGTTTGTTTGTACTTTGTCCAATCTATTGCATCATTTCGCATCCAATTTCATGAAAGTTATATCAAGTTCGTCATCCTCAGCTGCCATGTAGACATTTATATCGTGTCATTCTATTCCCATGCAATGCAAGATTGCAAGATACATGTAGTATCACTTTTGTCGATCATGATCCCATTTTTTTTTTAGCAATGATTGCTGCGGAAATTTAGCAAGAGTTACTGCCACTAAACTGCTGCTCTTTATACAACGTACTCTTTCGGGACTCATGATAATTTGTTTGACAGTTGATTCCATTTGGTTGATTCCACTGTAGGCAGAATTTGGCAGAGAGAGAGAGATAGAAGTGAACATTCTCATGATTAACGACCATATTCTTATCTGTTCATCTTCTCTACAATGCTATTTGAATAAACATCATTTTTGTTATGTAAGGCTTAGGGCCTATGCTGGGGAAGTTTCAATTGTTGTAAAGTAACTTTTGGCTTGGACCCGGTAGGTCCCTCTGGTTAAAAAGATTTTGTTTTGACTTGTTTTCAATTAGGGACTTTTCGATTTGCACGTCGACATAGTGGACTGCAACGTATGACGTCCTTTTAAGAACATTTTACGTCCTTTTAAGGCACTGACAGCTAGTGCCTTATTAGGACGTCACACCTAGCAGTCCACTATGTCGACGTGCAAATCGAAAAGTCCCTAATGGCAACATCGAGCACGCGATCTTAATCTACTGAGTGCAAGCCAACTACATTCCTTACAACTATACACATCACTGGGGTACTATCACATTGCAATCAGATGGAATATACATTAATTAGTAACATGTTTAATAATTTTATAGAAAACCGAATGTGAACCCCGCACAACCCCCCCCCCCCCCCTCTCTCTCTCTCTGTCTCTCTCTCTTTTTTTTTTCTCTCTCTCTCTCTTTCTCTCGCAATACGATTAAGGAAAAACACCCCTATACCCCGGAGCTAAGTCAATGACTTAGAACGTTATCTATTTTCTTCTCCATACAGTAGGTCTTCAAAGTAAAAAAGAAACTGGACAACGATGATAAAGTAATTACATGTTATATAGCATGTCTCCCAGGTTTACAGTCTCAAGCTTTATGTGTATCATGATTTCATGGAAAAGCAACATTAGCAACAACTTCCTGAATTCTAGGAACAATCATTCGCCATTGCTGCTCTTTAATACCACTGTGATATGCATGCAGTGTATACATCATTATTTAATTAATCTGTCCAAGCTCAAGGTAAATTCCTTGCAAAATTGATTCCATCCGATTGATTCATAAAAATGGTTGAAAATTGCTGCTTCATTGATACTAGACAAACTTGAACTTCCATGAAATATTGCATCACAAAAACAAAAGAACCTCTACCAAATGTGTAAATGTTGGTATCATATTTCACGATTAAATATTCTTCTACCTCACGTTATTGGAACATGGTCGTTTGTTATTATTGGGTCACCCTGTATAGGCTAGGTCTATTGTCGACTAATCATTGAGCCGAGTAAAAGAGTAAACAGAAACTAAATTCATGTCATAGTTCAATGTCTACAATATATATATTTTGAGGAAGTAGCTACCACAATTCACACCCGTATGACGGTTGAGTGCGTTAGGTCCATAATGCAGCAAATTGGAAGAGAGCTGCGTGCATTAAATATAGCCTGTATCGAACGTCATATAATACAAGTTACCTATGAGATCGCGCTGGGTCTTTTTATTTTGGAATAACAACATTGCCATATCTGTAGGCCTAGGCCGCCTATACACATTCGAGATTTGACTACGTTGAGGAGGTGTTGGATATGTGACATTAATTGGAGAATGGAAGACCATCATGCTAATTCGGAAATGGAGCGTACCTATGCAGCTGATATGAACGATTAATAGAATATATAATGAGAAGAAGTGACCACCTCGCAGGGCAAGTATAATCACGCGGTCCAAATGAAGTTTCCAGGCGCATTAAACCACTGCCAGCCGTAATACTCGGAGCAGATAATAAGCGGCACAGTATAGCCTATAGCTATCTATCTCTCTTCGTCCCATAGCTTGGAGTCGTTAGGGGCGACAATGAAATAGACATTGCGACACAGATTCTCAATAAGTTCATGTCTTCAGCTGTAATACAGTTCTAGTTGGCTGATCAAATAGCCTATATACTTAAATTATATAGTCTAGAAATTACAGGCAGACACTCAGATCAGTTGAATTCTTATCATGGATGGGGAAAAGATTCAAAGAGCAGACCTTCCAGAGGGTGAAAATGATGATAGCACACCTCTCCACGCGGCATCATCCAATGGTCACCTCGAGGTTGTAAAGGATCTCATTGGCCAAGGAGCAGATATAAACAGGGCTAGTAATGATAATTGGACACCTCTCCACGCGGCATCATTCAATGGTCACCTCGATGTTGTACAGTTTCTCACTGGCCAAGGAGCAGTTCTAAATAGGGCGGATAATGATGGCAGGACACCTCTCTACGCGGCATCATTCAATGGTCACCTCGATGTTGTAGAGTTTCTCATCGGCCAAGGAGCAGATTTTAAAAGGGCGGATAAAGATGGCAGGACACCTCTCTACGCGGCATCATTTGAGGGTCATCTCGATGTTGTACAGTTTCTAATTGGCCAAGGATCAGATCTTAATAGGGTGGATAAGGATGGCAGGACACCTCTCCACGCGGCATCAGCAAACGGTCACCTCGATGTTGTACAGTTTTTCATTGGGAAGGGAGCAGATCTACAAAGGGCGGATAAGGATGGCTGGACACCTCTCTTCATGGCAGCAGCAAACGGTCACCTCGATGTTGTACAGTTTTTCATTGGGAAGGGAGCAGATCTAAAAGGGGCGGATAAGGATGGCTGGACACCTCTCTACACAGCATCGTGCAATGGCCACCTTGATGTTGTACAGCTTCTTATTAGGAAAGGAGCAGATCTGAATGGTAATGATTTGAGCACACTTCTAGAAGCGGCATCACTCAAAGGTCACCTCAATGTTGTACAGTTCCTCATTGGCCAAAAAGCAGATTTCGCAAGGGCTGGTATTGGTGGACTCACACCTCTCGAAGCAGCATCATTTAATGGTCATCTCAATGTTGTACAGTTTCTCATTGGCGAAAATGCAGATCTTAATAGGCCAGGTATTGGTGGGCGTACACCATTTCAAGTGGCATCTTCCAACGGTCACCTCGATGTTGTACAGTTTCTCATTTGCCACGGGGCAGATCTAAATAGTGTGGATAAAGTTGGCCTGACACCTCTCTACACGGCATCATTCAATGGTCACCTTGAAGTTGTACAGTTTCTTATTAGTGAAGGAGCAGATCTAAAAAGGGCCAATAAAGATGGTATGACACCTCTCTACACGGCCTCATTAAATGGTCACCTTGAAGTTGTACAGTTTCTCATTGGCCAAGGAGCAGATCTAAATAGTGTGGATAAAGATGGTATGACACCTCTCTACATGGCATCATTCAATGGTCACCTCGATGTTGTACAGTTTCTTATTGGTCAAGGAGCAGATCTAAAAGGGGCGGATAAGGATGGAAGGACACCTCTCCACGCGGCATCAGCAAACGGTCACCTCGATGTTGTACAGTTTCTCATTGGCCAAGGAGCAGATTTAAATAGGCATGGTAATGATGGTAGCACACTTCTAGAAGCAGCATCACTCAAAGGTCACCTCGATGTTGTACAGTTTCTCATTGCCCAAAAAGCAGATTTCAAAAGGGCCGGTATTGGTGGACGCACACCTCTCCAAGCGGCATCATTAAATGGTCACCTCAATGTTGTACAGTTCCTCATTGGCGAAAAAGCAGACCTTAATAGGCCAGGTATTGGTGGGCGCACACCACTTCAAGTGGCATCTTCCAACGGTCACCTCGATGTTGTACAATTTCTCATTGGCCAAGGAGCAGATCTAAATAGTTCTAGTTATGACGGCAGCACATCTCTGGAATTGGCATCACTCAAAGGTCACCTCGATGTTGTAGAGTTTCTCATTGGCCAGGGAGCAGATCTAAATAATATTGTTGGGCGCACACCTCTTCAAGCGGCTTCATTTAATGGCCATCTCGATGTCGTACAGTTTCTCATTGGCCAAGGAGCAGATCTAAATAGGGCTGGTATTGGGGGGCACACACCTCTCCAAGCGGCATCACTCAAAGGTCACCTCGATGTTGTACATTTTCTCATTAGCCACAAAGCAGAACCAAATAGGGCTGATAATGACTGCAGCACACCTCTCCACGCGGAGTTTATCGATAATGGTTAGTTCAGTTGGTATTGTGTACGATCCGGCTTATTTTCTGTACATTTCTTTGACATTTCCTGTTGATAATTTATAATTAATATCATTCATTTAGGAAAATATCTGAATCAAATGTTGAGATTGGAAATTTAAGGGGAGATGACCTCTACGTCGATTAGATCATTCCATTGAGCTGGCATAGTCACATTCCAACCTCCTTTGTTAAATGAAAATTATAATTTATATAGGCCCTAATCATTAGTGATGAATGTATTTTATTGCAACTAATGAAACCCGAGGAAGTCCGTGGACAGCTAGAGCATTTGAGTAATTCTTTTTTAAAATTTGAAATATGTCAGGGTCAGATCGATCGAAAGAGACAGGTCGAGAAAAAAGGGAGGGGATGGGCCACAAGGAACACTGACAATACAACACATTGTATGATTTACAATATGCTTCAGAAAGTACCTAAACTTTAAATTGACGATCCCATGTTTCGTAGGGCTATTACGAGCTTTCATGAAATGTGTTACCTTGACGTACTGTACACGTGAAATAATGACCTAATTGGGCAAAAACCTTAGGGATTGATTCGAAAGCAAATCATTTTAACATGGGCAACCCAGGATATAGGTTAGTTATTAATTTGAACAGTCAAACACAACTACGGAAAGCCGAAAACAAGCAATACCTTCGAAAGAAGCGGCTATCGTAGAGCCTACGCACAGTGAATATAGAGCTTTCGCCGTTCAGTGCAAGGCAGTGTGAACAAAAGGCATGGGGAAAATTAACCTGCTGTTGAAATTTTTTTTCTTCAAAAAGATAATACTGTTCCTTATTTATGTAAAAAAACCATTGATGATTCGTCTCACAAAATACAGAAGAAAACCTTACCGTATTATCTTACGAAAATGCAAGCGTTTTTTAAAAGCAATTTACAGTGAATAAGATGCGTCATAAAAATGTCCATTAAAAAAAAAAAGTTGTGAGAACAACCATGACTTAAACCGAAAATAAGTAATTAGGCCTACACGTAGGCCTATATACACTTTAAACAGGAAATCTGTCTTCGGTTGTTTCGTTGTAGATCCAGCCGTTGGTTCACAACAGGAAAGCGGGAGTGTCGAAAAACAGGTGGATAGCGAAGCAAACGTACACACCTCAAAAACAGAACAGCTCAACATAGACTCTGCATCTTCTAAACAGGTCGTAGAAGATGTTATTCATGATTCCACGGGGGCTTCTGATGAGCAAGCAGGCTTGCTTCGCATCGAGAAGTATGGCATTGAAGTCCAGTTTCATCCAAGTGAGATTTTGGGCGTTGAAGACATACAGGCAGTACCTGAAGTTCCAGCTGAACTGTTAGCCCTGTTAACGGAGGACCAAGCAATCATTTGTGTTGGCCTTAAGGCGTCACCATCTGATGCAAAGTTTAAATATCCAGTTAAAGTGACGATGCCCCATTCAGCAATTTTCACAAGTCCCGATTCTGCATCTATTGGGACTTACCATAGAAAAAGTAGTAAGAATCTTTACAGTTATTACTAAATTATTTATACCCTTACCAAGTTTTGTAATTTCTGAAGTTTCTGAAAAATTGACTTGTCCTGAATGTTATGTTTCTAGAGAATGTGACATATTCAAATTTAAATCTAAAATATTCAACAAAGGCCCTACTTCAACCTCCTTTCATTGTTAATTTATGAAAAACAAACAAAAACATTAAATTAACAAGGGGTATGATTAATTTAGATGTGAAATGCAAGTCTTTGTTAAGACGCATTATATTACGATGTTATCCCCGTTCAATCACCCATCGCAACATTGAGTGATATATTTAAGGGGACTTCATTCGCATAAATAGAATCCACTATTCAAAATTGTCGGGTCAGTTTGGGATTGACCGTAAATGCGACACAAGAGTTTATAGTATGAATGGCTGATTCGAACCTCCAAACCTACATGTAAAGACACTGAAATAACATTTGTAAGATAGATGTATTATGATATAAAGCTTTTCTAGCGTAATGGCTGCCATCTCAGACGCCATTGTTTTTTTCCATAAATTTACCTACTATAAAGCGATACCAAGTTTATGATTTTTTTTCTTTTTTGTTATACAGGGTTGCTAAAAAAGAGCGCAACACCTAAGGGCTGCAATCTCAACGTCAAGTTGATACAATGTCATTTGTTTTTTAAAATTGGGAAGATCATTCTTTCCCTTGCAAAATTGCACCAATCCAAGATCATCGTAAATTTCGATAAAGGGGTTTGTTTTTAACTCTTTTTGTGAGATACCATCTTGAGCAAATTTAGCTCTGCTTTGAACATGACTACGTTTTTTTTTCCTCTTTTAAAGAGGTATATATTGGGGTGATCTATCGTATAATCGGTTGTAAAAAGCTGGGGTACTCACCCTCCCCGTCGCTTCTAAGTTCTTTCTTGAAATTTGTATTATTTTGTATTTACTTTGCTTTGTTTTCGATTTTGCAAACAAGAACAAATTGTGATTACGCATATGTGTTTTGTTTTCAATTTAAAGGCTCCGACAGTTTTGTGTTGATTGCTGCTTCCAATGGTGACCCTCGATGTGATGTTAGAGAGCGAGACCTTGACCTCTATATCTCTCACTTCTCTGAATGGTGGATTGTTGCCTTCATCACAAAGGTATTCGTGGGCAAGCGTGTCGTCTGTACCCCTTTCGTACCCGAACCGAGTCCTATGAACACTAAGCATCTGGTGAGGCTCTGCATTAGAGACAGTAACCAAGGGAAAGCGGAGGTATGAACGGGAAGGGGTATTAATGGCAGGAATTCACAAAGGAGGTTCGACGACAAACCTAGGTTTATGTGTTTCGATGCGTTTTTACAAACCTTGGTCAGTAAAAACGCGTCGAAACGCGTCTTATGACGCACATAAACCTAGGTTTGTTGACAAACCTCCTTTGTGAATTCGGGCCAGTTTGTTTAAAGACTACTAAAGTAATTATTTCATATTCGCTTTTCGTCCAGGTTACTGGTTCAGAACAACAGAGCCTGCATATGAGGTTCACCACAAAATGACAAGCAACGTGGGCTGGAGCACGGCAAATAGACCATGTTCATATTGTAATTAAGTGTTATGCGTACATTTAAGTGCCATGTAACAAATGATTTAATTCACCTGTTATGAATGATTTAGTTCAATAGTCAGAATATAAATGTCATACATTACTTGATGAAAGGAAAAACATCAGAGCTTTTCCTGCCTTGTCCTACAATACGGAACGTTTGCAATAGGCAATTTTCGTAATTTAACCAAATTTAATGCATACGTCTTTGTGAAGTGCTTCGATACAACTATCTCATTCATCTGATAAGAATAAAAGTATTTCAATAGACAGAATCCAAACTGCATACATTAGTTGTTGCCAGATTGGATGCACATTATGGCTTGCCCTACCTAGCACCACTTAATATATGCAGCTGGTATTCTGACTATTGAAATACTAATATTCTTATCGGGTGGAAGAAATAATTTGTATTGAGGAACTTCACAAAGACTGAAAACGGCCTATTGCATACCTGTGTCCTTATTGACTGATCTATTTTATCGTATCCAGACACCTACCCCTGGACATCCAACCCCGGGTAAACCTTAAAATGAAAAATGACAAAGTGTTTAAACGTTATTCATTCTTCCGTTCTTAATGTTGTTGTTTGAATTTTTACTTTCAATATAATGACATGTGGTTTTCTTGCTCATGTAAAGTGTAAACTGTACATTATGTATAAGTATGGGCTACTTTCTTTTCATTGTACATGTATATTCTTGTTATGTCATAAACAAAAATCAGCCTGAACCAGGATACGTGACACCAATAAAGGGAGAAGAGTATTTCGTGGCATGGCGTTCTGGTGATCTTAAAGTAACCTGTCAGGTAGACGACAAGGACATATACACCAAGGCAAGTTAATATAAATGCTTTAGTTACAACGACAAACCAACTCAAATTCACTGATCGATTTGTTGGTTATTCAGAGCAATGTCTTTGTTAGGTTTGTGTGTTTTCGATCTGTATGATCGAGTCATAGCGTATTGAGAGACATCGTTGTGACCCGTGGACACGTACGCGATCAAGTTTTAAATCATGGAGCTCCAAATAGTTTCCTTTCACATAAAATCTCTAAATAGAAGGGAACTTATTTGGAACTCCATGAATTAACATTTCATCACGCGCGTGTCGCAACTATCTCTCTCTCAGTACATGCAAATTTTCTTACCGTAACATGTGAATGAAAAGTTTTTGTAACAATTAAAATTACTCGATCATTTTACCTCAATTGAGGTTCAATATGAATGTTTATCTATTCTGGCAAATATATGCAACATTTCTTACCAAAGGTGTATTAATTTAATATTGCGGATCAATTGAATAATAATAATAATAATATTATTTATTTAACATCGATCGACGAAAGTGTATGTGCGTGTTTTGTTGCCAGCAGACATGTGTGTGCGTTTGATTACTCAAACAATTTAACTCATAACATGCCATGAGGCTGCATGCACGCTACCGTTATAGTGCTTTGTACATGCGGACTAACCACTGATTCACTGCCATGTGCGTGCAAGGACGTATAGCACGCATTCGTAATAACGGTTATTGTTCATGCTTACTGTGTGTTTCGCACGCGCTATTCATAAAATCATCACTTGAATCAGATAATCTCGAAAACAACCTGGCACGGGGGGATTTGGAGCTTGGCACAACGGGGATTAGCCCAGCCTGTGGCATGATAAGAAACAATTTATTTTATATAGGATGATACCTACACTGTAAAAAAGAATTTGTTCATTGGTAATTTTTACGTATTTGTTCCATGTAGAATTTACTTGAAAACATTAGTTTTGCCACTTACGCACTAAATTTAAGTCTTGCTAACTCAAACTTTCAATTTAGTAGAACATACGTGGAATATTTAAGTAAAATCAAATACATATTAGAACTTTAAGTAATTTCAGCTTGTATTAATTTAGTAATTTTAACTCAAAATCAGAAATTATACGTATTACTCAAACAATTTATGTTGATTATTCTTATCTTTTTAAAGTAAGGACCGATGCAGTGCGTAATAGAAATATTTACATAATTTATGAATATTCATTAAGACCAAATTAAACTCTTTTTTAAATAAAACAATTCTTTTTTTGTGGTTGAATGAAAATTTAAGGACTTTCAAACATTTACTAATTCATTTAACATGGCTAAGCAAAGACAAGACAATTTTATATTGTTACCCAGTTCAAAACAAATCAAAACTTGATATTTCAGGAAATTGTCAACCAATTTTCCTTTTAAGATGCTACGATCAAGTATATATAAAATTTGGAGCCTTTCAATATGTGTCGAATTGAAGCGCATGTAATAGTTTGTGATGGTGGTAGAGATATATATATATATATACGGTTAAATCTTAAATAGAAGTAGTGAATGATTAGTGGATGTTACTTGTTAGATTAGATGGGTACCAAATCGTGCAATATGAAATCCTATCATAGCTTTTTTTTAATTATCTAAAATTATTACAATACTTAAATTATTTACGTTAATGTAACTCGATTTAACTGAGTAAAAATTTATTCAGCAAAATAAGTAAATTCTACTTAAGATGCCGTAGGTAATATTTACTTAATAAAAATAAGGGAATTCTTTTCCTCAATTTTATTGAGTTATTTCGACTATTATTTTTTTACAGTGTACGGGGTCTAATAGAGACACATGTAATACGTTTAGGTAAATCGTTTAGGTAATACAATCTAAATCATGGACACGATTGGTACATGTAATTTGTATTTAAATTGTTATTACATGTCTTTCTTAACAGACACAACAGGAAACTCTGTTTCATAAATCAGTTGAGGTCAATGTACGGTTCATCGTTAACACTCCAGCCGCTGACCAATCTAAAGTCTTTGTTCAGTTCATCTTGGAACAAAGCGCAAAGATGGAAATTATTTGCCCGATGAATCTATCAGGTAAGTGTTGATCGCTTGAAAACATATAAATGTGGCCCCTAGCTTAGCTTTCAGCTTTATAACGGAGAAAGGAAGAAGGAGAAGTAGGAAGAAGAACAACAACATTTAGTAGTATACATGTTAATCTCATATGCTGTTTCCAAATCAGGTTTCGAGAAAAAAAATACAAGAAATTTAAAAATGTTAACAAATTATAAAATCGTCCTCAGAAAATGTCAATGGAATTCAGTATTTCATACACAAATATATTTAGGAAAAAGGAAACACCAACGTGAAACAGTGTTTCGTTTTTCTTCTTCATTTCTTACTATAGGAGACCAGGTGACACCAAGGGCAAAAGGAACTCAAAAGTAGGTCTATCTTTTCTTTTGTTATTTCGAATTGTTCTATTCCGCTGCTGATTTTCTCCTTGGCGATAATGAGCCGACCTTTTCAGTACTTAATTCCTGACCACTTTCTCTGATTCTAAGTTTGGTCTGTTGTGCGACTTGGGTTTTCATAGATTGGAGTTTTTTCTTGGTTTGGGCAGTTTATTTGCGCAGGGGTGTTTTCTTCTTTCATTGTCATTTAAATTAGTGACATCTTTTAGACGATCACTAATTTGATAGGTTTAAAGAGTTTAACAGGAGCTTCATGAGACACTTCATTGGTTTGGTTATAATATTATGACAATATATTAATTATTGTAGCCTATGTATTGTTTTTAACATAGCTATGCTGTACATTAATTTAGTTAATTAATTTAATTAACATTTTCTTCAACTTTAGACAGGTTGTAAATTGACCACCGTTAAATTTGTCTAATCAATGAATTAGTATCATTGACAAATTTTTGCCATAACCAGCTGTAGGCCTACATGTTAGTGTTGACATCACAAACTAAATCTTTGTCTCTCCTTTAATCTCAGGCCTATCGACTCACCGGAAGTAACAGATATGCATTTGCTAAGAATCTCACAGGAACTCCTTCCGGATCATTTCTCCGCTCTGCACCTTACTCTGGGGATCAAACCAAGTATTGCACAAGGTATCCTAACGCAGAAGATAAATGACTATCCAGATACATACATGCACCTTCTACAGCTGTGGAAGACAGAATCCCATAGGACCCTGAGAGATCTGGACCAGGTTCTTGTTGAGTCTAAGGCTGGTGGTCTTAGATCCAAGTATAAATAAGACCAAAAGTAGAAAATCTAATTACGCTGTGTTGTTGACAGTGAAGATGCCTGTTCATTTGTTTGCTGCAGAAGAAATTGTGAGACTTCTTTCTTCTTCTTCTTCTTCTTCTTCTTCTTCTTCTTCTTCTTCCTCTTCTTCTTCTTCTTCTTCCACGCCTAGTAAATTACAGACCGCCGTTGACGTATTATTGAACCTTGTGCTTGTTATCTAACAATTAGTTTACAAAGCAAATAAAAAGGCTCTTTAAGAACTATACGTGCAGCTAAAACAGAATTTTAATTCATATTTGTATTTGAAATATATTAATGTGTTCATGATGATTACACTTTATTAATCTGAATATCATAAATATTTTACTACCGCTTTATATCATTTACTATGTAGTACGAATTACAAGTGAAATTTGTACTGCTGAAAGTTTAGAGGCCATTGAAACAGGACTTATACCGCTTCTGATATGCTGCTTCTTGTGGCTTTCATTTTTAATTACACGGTGTTATTGTTAATACGTAATTTTTGTTGAAGTACTATGAAATTTGAATGTATTGTGTGTCTGTTTTAGGCAACTGTAACTATTTTGTAATAGATTATGCCAGCTTCATGTATACCATTGTAAAGTTGAATTGAGCCCAAGCTTTACATCCTTCTGATTGGATGCTTTTTTTTTAAAGTAACTTTTTTTGAAGTATTTTTTTTCTTCTTCATTTCATGTAATTTTTAGGACATTTGTAAAGATATCACACAAAGTCGGTATTGGCTTATGCATGTTTTGTGTTGCATTCATGCATGTAGATTTAGCACAGTATTGCTGGTATTGACCAGTGAGTAATTCTCCTTTAAATTTTGCATCTATTTTATGTTTAGATGTTATTTAATGATGTAACATGCATTGTAATCAATTGCACTACTTTTACATTGATCACTGAATTATATGAAAGAATGAATTAAGATCTTTGTAAAATGATGTTAAACAGAAAAGAACGCTACTGAATTGTTGATAAGTGATACATTAATCATTGATCTTTATTTGATTTAAAATTTCACTAAAGTTAACATGACAAATTTACTCTCCTCGTACGGATAGAAAATAAATGTGATTTATGTTTTCTCGTTGTTGCTTCTATGATAAAGCTGTGAATAATTGGCTGAAGATGTATTTAAAAGAATATATTTGTTCTGTCAGATAAGAAACTGTAAGAATTTGAAGTTGTATATACCTAGAGCCTTAAAGACGTATGCGGGGATGTAGGCCTGCAGGTGAAAAGCAGTTTGGAATTTTCAAGCTGCAATGTGCATGCATTCATCATATTTAATTTGATTAGAATGCAGGTCGAAGTTCATATAATTTAACAGAATGTATCTGATTAAATTAGTGATAATTATTTGTTTTAATGTTGAGCTACAAGAATGATAATGATAACAATAATAATAAGAACAGCAATTGATCCCTATCTGTAATGATACTGTTCTCCCTGAGGGCGTTGCAATTATATTATTACCCCGGGGTTTGGGAGACAAGATTCATAATTGACTGTAACTGGAAAAAGAAAACTGAGATTTAGAACATCAAAACAAAGTATTAATTAACTTGACGAGACATACATTTAAGAGTCTTTCCAATGCGAATTGTGCATTGAAAGCATTTTTTTAATAATTATTTTATTTTGTTCAAATACTACCCCAAAAACTATTTGAATTTGATTTCAAGAGTAATAGATCCACAAAACAAGAATGGATGTTCATATGCAGCCATAGAGT